TAGGTCAAGAGTGATCATGGTAGGGTGGGCGTTTCTGATGTTGCTCCCCCATCTCGCAACATCGACACAACCAACTGGTCAGCCATGGTAGGGGTTCTCAGCTAGTTCCTTCTTTCCTGTCTTCTTTCCTATCAGCAATATTTAGTGCGTAGCCCCTCTTCCTCTCGTGATCCAGTGTCCATTACCACCATTCGCATAAACGTTCTTCTTCGGGCAATGTAGATGACTTTTCAGTGAGATCTTCGATTTCCCAAAAGCGCTGAAGAACCGAGTCGATATTAGATAGATTTGAACTTAATGTGACATTACAAATTGATGGGCGTGAATTTGAAGGCGTTCCAAAATTGCCACCCACGATCCAACCTAGTTTGCTGTTATGAAGGCATGGTAAACCTTGACCAAGCGAAACTTTGCCATCTTGAAGGCTATCGAAAAATATTTCTGCATTTAGCAATATTTCTATACTTTGCGGTTTGTAGAAGTATGGATGCGCAAGTTGGATTTCTTCAGGAATGTTCCATTTAAATGTATGAATAAAATCACAAGGTATATGAGTTGAAATTCGTTTAGTTATGGCGAATTGCGAAATACAAGTGAAATTCCCAATACGAGATTTTATTGTCGCGTTTACTGCATATTTTGAGTTAGAACGAATATCTGAAATACCTGAAATTTTCTGTTGTGAGAAAACCCGTTTAAGCTGCAACCGCTTCGCTGTTTCCTCAGTGATGAAATTTACCTCGGAACAAGAATCCAATAAAGCGCGGGCTGGCTGCATCACTCCAAATTTGTCTTGTATTTAAATTAACGCTGTTGGTATTGGCGCTCTTTTGTGTGTGCACGCGATGAGTGAAACCGATGGATTAATTGGACTCGATGAGCTAGACGTGTTGGTGTTGTAACAGCATACAAATTCCCCAAAGAGTTTTTGGGGAGTGTAGTTGGAGTGACAGTCCTTGGCCAGATATAAATCTGGGTCGTTCCGGTTACGTAGACCCGACTGTCGTGGGAACGATGAGCTAGACGTCGAAGGTGTTGGCTCCTTCCCTTTTGGTTCTACTGTTTGCGCAGCAGGTGAAGTTGTAGTTGCAACGGAGGCAAAATGAAGATGGGAGTGGTGTGATTGGTGGCAAACCCGGCAATGAGATTTCGATGGGCATTTGGATACTGTATGTCCTTTACGCAAACAATTTATGCAAACACCTGCTTGCTTCACCCAATCAACACGCATTTTAACTGGTAGCGCTAGAAATGAAGAATAATTTTTGAGGTTAAGATCTGCACTATTGCAATGTATACAATTTGGTGTTGCGTTGACGAAGGAATTTGCAGTCTTCTTACCCGATAGTTTACCATCGCGCTGTGTTACCTTCGGGTTTTCTCCTTTTGCAAACGAATCTAAGTACTGGCTGTGCCGATTCAACCATTTATAACAATCCTCTCACGCTGGTAACTTATCAAATTCTTGCTTTTGGTTGTATGCTGCTTTTGAATCCGAATAGATTTTCGTTAAGACAATGTGAATTATGTCGCTTTCTGAGCCCAACGAGAGCAAAGAACCTCGCAGCGCAGCAACGGTGTCGACAATATTGCGTAGACTCGCTGCATCAGACTTTTTCATCATCGGAATGTTGAAAATCGAGGTGATGTAATCTGGAAATATCAGTTCATTGTCGTCGTACCGTTCCTTGAGCCGTTGTACAGCCTTCGGATAATTTTCCTCGGTACCTGGAACGGTTAGATTACGCTTAGAGCTGGTCCTCAAAGACATTTCAGAAGATAATTAAATTTGTCAACTTTTGGCATTGTTAGATCATCGTGCACCATGTTGCAAAAGGTGCGGAAATAGCTTTTATGTTCCGCATACTTTCCGTAAAATTTGGGCAATTTGAGTGACTGCAATCGATTGTGATGACTCATATTTCCAAGTTCCGTGGCATTAAACATGCTGGTGTTCAACTCAGAAATGCGGTTTCTGGAGTTGATCAACCAAAGAGTTTTGGATTTTGTTGAAATGTACGTTTCTTCAATTTCTACTCTCGATCTGTCTGTCGGAGCAAGAACTTCGATGTTGTTCAGGACGTCGGAAATGTGTTGAAAATAGGAAACAACAATCTGCAACCGACATTCGAGAACATGCGTGCCAGTGTCAACTTCTTCACAACCAATTCGTTGCTTCATGCTAAGTAGGTTCCGAAGAATATATGAACGGTGTTTTAGTAGCGAGGATAAAAGCGCTTGCTCCTCATCAGACATCTCAGGACGTTATCTTCACTGTTATGAAGTATTTGGAAGCACAAAAAAATACGGATACCTGAGCAATGAAGACTATGATGATGATGTTGTGAGTGTAGCAAAAGCAGATGAGGAATGCAACGAATTTTTGTTGCAAATAGTCCAGTGTATGTGACCTGAGACTGCGACGAGTTGACGAAATGTATGCAACTTCGACAGGGGACGATGAGAAGAGGCGAATCTCCTACGACAGTTTGAACAGCCACGTGTAATAGGTATGTAATTTGATTACAGCGGCAACGACGATGATGTGTGGCAAGAATTGCTATCCACGTCTGCAGATGATTTAGCTGTCGGATCGCTCACACAGTTTTAGTTGATGAGAAGATGTCCGTAAATTTTATATGTCTCGACAAAGGCAGAGCAACGAAAAACCAGACTTTCTTCTTTTGGCTTTCTTTAATTTAAAAAATGTAATTGAAAAGTCCAGTCACGGTCGCCAAAATGTTCCAGCCAAAGAAAAA